GGAGCCAGGACCACAGGGTTCCTAGAAGCTGCTCAGAGAAAGGGAACAGCAGAAGTTGATGTGGAATAGAAACTCCTCTGGCCTCTTTCACAGCAGGGCCCAGAACATAACCCAAAACCTCAGGCTCAGCAAGGCCAAGTACCAGGTCCTGCACTTTGGTCAAATGAGGTCAACAACCTCATGCAGCACTACAGGCTTAGATAGCAGTGCCTGGAAAGGGGCCCAGTGGAAAAAGACCTGGGGGTGCTGGGTAAAAGCTGACAATGAGCCAGCGTGTGTCCAGGTGGCCAAGAAGGCCTAGGGCATCCTGGCCTGTATCAAAAATAGTGTGGCCAGCAGGGCTAGGGCACTGATTGTCCCTCTGTACTGGGTACTGCTGGGGCCACACCTGGATGGCTGTGCCCAGTGCTGGGCCACTCAGTACAAGAAAGACATTGAAGTACTGGAGCATGTCCAGAGAGGGAAAATGGAGCTGGTGAAGGGTCTGCACAGGAAATCCAGTGAGAGTGAGCTGGGGGTAGTTTAGCCTGGAGAAAAGGAGGCTCAGGGGAGACCTTATTGGTGTCTGCAACTACCTAAAAGGAGCTTGTAGCATGGTGGGGGTTCATCTCATCTCTTAGGCAACAAGTGATAGCATAAGAGCCCCAAGCTGTTCCAGGATGGACATCAGGAAGAATTTCTTCACTGAAGGGGTGGTCAGGCATTGGAATGGGCTCCCCAGGGTGGTGGTGGAGTCACCATCCCTGGAAGTGTTCAAGAAATAACTGGACATGGCACTAAGTGCTCTGGTCTAGTTGACAGTCAAAGGTTGGACTCGATGATCCTAAAAGTCTTTTCCAACCTTAATGATTCTTGTTTTGTGTTGGTTAGTAAGGGTACAAAATCTTATCTATGGCAGTTGCAAGTACAGCTTTGCTCCAGTCTCTGCAGACAGGTTTCTAAAGCAGCAGTTAGTGGGTGAGGGGAGAAAGGAAGCTGGGGAGCAGGAGAAGGAAGCAGCAGCCCTCCCCACCAGCTGTGCTAGATGTGGCATATCTCTCCTACATCCCTCTCCACATTCCACATCTCTGCTCTTTTTGGCCATGCTGTGAATGACAGAGGGACCTCTCTTAAACAGGCAGCAGTTTGTGGCAAAGGAACTGCCATAAAAATAACTTTGGAAAACAAGACTCAGCTCTTCGGCTTCAGGAAGCAGGAGTTCCTAATGTGGCTGAAAACCATTTGAAAACATCATGATTTCTGTGGTTACCACAGCAGTTCCAGCAAAGATCTTGTGTAGAGGTCATCCCATCCCCTCTGCCCTCCCCTGCACGTCAGTCTCTCGTTCACTTGACTGTACCACTGTCCTTCCTCAGAAAGGTTTGCAACACTTCCCTACCAAGACCACATCTCCGACTGAGAGAAGGAACAATTGGGATGCAACCTTTTACGATAAAGCATGATAAATCTAAGGTTCATGACTGCTGCATGTCTGGCATACATCACAAGAAAACAGACTATGGTGACATCGAGTCCATCTGGAATGCGGATAACTTAAAATTAAAACATTCAACATCTGTCAGAAAGAATTCATCCAGAAGCTACAGAAAGTCATGAAAGCAGAAAAGAATGGGAAATGAGAAGATTAATTTTGTTTACAGTGCCCAGGTCTGAGAATATCAAATATTTACAAATAACTCTTCCTTTCTCCCCGCCCAGCTTCTCTGTAGAGAAATACTGTTAAATACTGTTAAAAAGGCCCTAAAAGAGCCACACAGGCAAAAAGGGCATCTTGTTTTCATCATATTCAAACTACATTTGTACCTACTGTCTCTTGATAATAACCATGAAAACAATTTTTCAACTGAGTATTGGGGTTCACTGTTTCAGGTGATTTTGTGTGAGAGGGTTCTGCTTTATGAAGGAAATGTAGGGATTTTTTTTTTTTTTTTTTTTTTTTTTTTTTTTTTTTTTTTTTTTTTTTTTTTTTTACCAGCAGGAGTAAACCACTGAAGCATCTGCCATGGATCAGAGCAGGGGAGACCTCCCATCCCTAGCTTGCAAAGGGAGGGGAGGACTCTGTTTTCAGTGCTGCTTGTGTTTGGAACCTTGCCAGCAGGGAGGGAGAGGACAGGAACTACTGACACCAGCTCCCAGCTGGCATTTCCAGAATGAACAGCCTAATTTTCTGTCTGGCATTCCACTGGAAATTTTCATGAGAAAAACTGAAATTTTTGTTCTAGCCATGAACGTGGAGCAGTACCTCTTGGTGCTCTTAGTGATTCAGGCACGTGTAATGGCCATATTCATCCATATTCAGTTTTACATCCTCAGTTCCATTCCTTTCTTGATAGTTGTGTACATCCCATCAGGCTTACAAGACACCCACCCACTTGGCTGAGTTTGATTCCCTTCCCCCTCCAAGATTGCCACAATTAACTATTTTTGAGAGTACTGACATGCAGTAGGCAGCAGAGGACACCTGCTTGAATTTGGTTCTTTCTTTTGAGAAAGACATTCAAACAACCAGCTCTATAATGAGACTTCAGAAGTCTTATCCCTACTTCATTAAATTTTCTGTATCACTGTGGTCCTGTCCTGGAGGGGCAGACATATCTGCATTTCTTTCAGTCACCTGTATTTTTCTCTCACATCTGCATTTCTCTCTCTAGTGAGACAGGTTACTTTTCAGTCGAAACTAAATTTCCACACGTTCTGTAAGTGACACTTCTAATTAAATCTTTCTCATTTATATTCCTTGCTTTTCCTTGGATTTTAGGAAGCAGAGAAACACAAGATGGTATCTAAGGGTATTTTTTCTGTTGTCAGAAACACTGCTGGTTTTCTTTGCCCAGAAAGTCAACCTTTTACAAAACCCCCTAATTTTGCCTAGTGGAAGTTGTTTTGCTTACAGAAACCCAACCAATTACCAAAGCTAACCATAACCATGGCTGCTTTTGTGGGCAGGGCACTCAGAACAAAAAAACCCATGAAAATAATTTGAAGTAAAACCAGATGTACTGATTAAGAGATATACAACACAATATATGCCTTAAAATATTTTCAGCAAAATATTTTTGGCATGGCACATCCCTGTATTACATAACCCAACATACAACCTTTTTCTTGCAGTCATTTTATGCCCTACACCATGTATGTGGATTAACAACAAAACAAAACAGTCTATTTAGAAAACCCAATTTCACAATGCCAACCAGACAGTTTCTGGTGCCATTTCTCCTTTACTGACATGGCCTGTGCTTCAATCTACAATTTAATGTCTGCAAAAGAAGAAGGAAAGTGTGCTCCCTTCTGTGTTGGTCGTGAAAACCAAATTATTTCCATATTAAACTGTTATTGGGAATGTAATAAATGTTGACAGTTTTGCTTTAAACAATAAGGGAAAAAAAAAAAGAGGCTGTGGAAAGACATATTTTCATGGATGCCTCAGATCTGATTGATTCCACTTCAGCCAGTTAAGCATACAGATAAAGATGTTGCTGTCCCATCAGGACTCACTCTAATGTTTCCAAAGCAGTTGGACAAATTCACAGAGGAAAAACCCAGGGAGAACATTAAAGGAAAAGACACCAGCAGTTGCCACCAGCAGACACCTGGGCCACAAGCTGTTGGCATCTGAAAAAGCATTGCTTTGTGCTTGCTGGGTTTTTATGCTGCTGCCTTGGCTAACAGCAGGTCAGCCAAAAATCTCCTTTGCCAACAGCTCCTACCTTGGCCAACAACTTTAGCCTGGTCCAGTGTAGACACCTGCATATTTCAAAGGATTTTCAACTACTTTGGGCACTGGCCAGCTCTGGGAAAACTTTCTAGAGAAGCAGGACCTTATCCCTCTCCTTAACCTTGACTTCTACTTTCAGAAAGACTGGGATTTAATTTATGCACAGGACACTGAACCATTACAGGGCAGGGCTCCTTGTGCCTGCAAAACCAATTGCCACAGTCCTAGTGTGAACTGAGTTTCTGGGATTTTGATGGAGTTGTGCTCCTCCATCACAGAAGGAAATCTCAAGGCCAGCCTTCTGACACTTCAGATTGGTCTTTGATCACCCCCAGTACATGTAACCAAAAAGATGAGCTGGCAGCATCAATCCCTAATTCACTGGGATGATGTTTCATGTTACATCCTCATTGGTGCCCAGAACATTACAGGTTATGGCATGTGCCCAGGGCTGGGGAAGAGCAAAATAGAGACAAGGACTGAGCCACTGCATGAAACAACTATCAAAGCCCCAAGCACTTCTCTGAATTATTTAGGTATTTGCCAAAAATACCAGTGTTCTGCTTTCAAAAGATTTTTTTACACTCCCAAGTATCTTAAATTTTTTTTGAGTGCAGGGATGCAAAAGGAGGAATAAAGACCAACTTACCCAGCATCTTGCATCTCCCACATCACCCATCTGCCCCAGCACCAGCAAGCTCTGGGGTAAAACTTTAAACCCCAACTTTCTTCCAAATTCAGCTTCCTATAATCTTCTCTTTCTGGTCCAGCATCATAGTGACCCAAAATTCCATTTTTCACTCTTGTGTTTTTCATGTACCACTGCTGCATGTTAATAAACACATCTCCTGGGTGCTTCTCCTGGACACTGCCTTCAAATAGAGGCTCCCAATTGATGTTAGCAGGAATTAGAACCAGCTGGAAATTACTTTTCAAAAGTCAAGCATCTCATTTAAAACAAAACAAAACAAAACAAAGCAAACATCTGCTTAAAAAAATCCCAAAGCTAAGGAGGCTTGCATTTTGTTTTGTTTTCAGCACAAAGCATTTGCCCTGCATGAGATTTTCCATGGGCTTCTCCCTTCAGATGATCCCATTGAAGAGGCATCTGATAAAGGTGACCCTGTTCTTCCAAAGGATGGATGCAACAGAGCATGGATCTGATAGACCTCAATATGGATGGTTTAATTAACACCAGATGTCCCTTTTATGGGTGGAATAGTTGCTATGAAAAAAATCTCTGACGAGATGCTGGTGGTATTTCCTAGCAGACAACACTTACCTCCGTGCTGTGTGTGTATCTCCAGCAGGCAGCTGGGATCAATCCACAAAAGGCCAGAGCAAAACAGAAAAATCCCTAGGGATAAAGAGGAAAAATACCAACATTCAGCCTGGGGAGAAAAATACCCATTTGCAAACACAATCAGGACATATTTAATATGCTTGTTTGAGCAAGTTTCATTAAAGTTTAAATATCACCTTCTTTTAATATCCCTCATAACGTCAGTTACTTAAAAGAAATTAGATGGACAATAATGTGGTTCTCCATCAAGAGCCCTCTAATTACACTGTGGCCAATTGAAGAGTTTGACCAAAAAACCAGGCAGCTTCCAGCAGAGCAGTTAATCTATTGTGCCCAAATTCCTCTTGGACAAAGAAAAGGACATATAAAACATTATATTTACAGTATGCTTCCCTTCTGCTGCAGGACTCTGCTCCATAATCATGGGATTCAATCCCCTGCATTTAAAACTTGGCCGTTGGCTTCAAAGAGGGGAAAACCCACACAAATAGTTCATAAAGAAGGAAATAACTGGGATAGAGGTAAAAATCAATCTGCTCTGGAAGAAGAGCTGGACTTTTTCTGTGAGCAAGGTGGCAGCTGCACAGCCGAGCTGCTTTCCTTAGATCAGCACCATCCTAGTTAGACAACAAGATGACAGAAATATAATCAAGGCCAGAAACTGACCCTGAAGTGTCTAAACAATAACAGCAACGATGTAGGACATGGCTTGACTTTTGTCTTCTTCCTTAGGCTTGCAAAGCTGGAAGTTACATGCTTTGTGTTTTTATTTGAACAAATCTGGACCAAAAACCCCACACCCTGATATAAAAAGCACTCGCCTGCTGTGATAGCTGGACCAAATGATCTTGTTCACATTTAAAAGAAAAAAAGGAAGGGAAAAGTGCCTGTAAAGTGTTTGAAGGCTAAATAGGCTGATCCAATATGAATCCACAGCTTAGTCTTGGAATGACAAAAGGTGATGAATAAGCATCGGTTGAAAATTAATGCCCTTATAAGTTTTTCCATTAAACTGTGCCTCTTTCAACACAACATTATGTGGGAAACTTACCCAGCTGACTGCATCTTATTTTGATTTCTAATTTTTTTCTATTACTGTTTTCATTGTATGATATAGTTGAAATAACTTGGAAATGTTTAAATCTTTAATGAAATTTAACCAAATTCAAGCTTAAGAGAGGAAGAAGAATATTGCTTCTACCAGTTCTGCTTCACAAAAAAAAATGCTTTAAAGATATAGTTAAAAAAAAAACAAGCTCCAAACTCATGCATAAGCAGCAAGAAAGGAAAATGTGTTACTTCAAATCCTGGAAATGAAAGTGAATGTGCCAGTAAAATCCTTTTGCTGGCTCTTGTCCATCTGCTCTGTTTCTCTGCTCTGCCTGGGGACTTTGCTCCTGGAACAAGACTGCCACTGGTATTCACCGCTTTTTTTGGGGCCGCCTTGTTGCAGGCTCTGCATCAGACACTGGGGAAAACCCTGGTACAGCTCTTATGAAAAATCTTAAATTATGTATGTCCAGTCTCCCTTTCATTTATTTTTTGGCAGCTGCCTGGCCATATAGCTGATGAGATCATTCGTTGCCTTGCTAGGAGCTAAAATGAGATTAACTGAGACCCTAAAGAAGATGAGAGGAAAAGTCTGATCCAACATTGACATGACAAGGTGGTTACAAGTCATGAAGATGTGGAAGAGCTCACAGGGCAAGATATCTCAGACCAAAACCCAGCTGGAGTGAGGGGTTCAACCCTGCAGGTACAGCACAAACCGGAGGGAGGAGGTGAGGTTACACAGGCATGTCTGGGTGCTCAACAGGACCAGACCCTGCATTTTACACTGCCTCCAACACTGCCTCCAACAACTTCCCCACCAAACAAACAGCCTTTTCACCAAAATCAAGTTCAAAGACAATAAAATTTAAAAATAAGAAAATTAGTCAGATGGAAAAACCAGCACTGACAAAAATGTGACCACTCTTCTGCATATCATTCCATTAAAGTTATAATTCAGGTGACCCATCATGAACCCAGAGAGTGTGAACAACAGGATGCCAGTGACAACCCAGATTCCTTCCCCTGTGCTCTCCCTCTTCCCTACCAGCTCCAGCTCTTACAACACCTCTCTGAGGCCAGAACCCTCAGCAGATAAAAATCCTCCTTTTCATCTTCCCTTCGTTAGCTCCACCCCACATCTCAGTCCTTCAGCATCAACTCTCCCTTTATTTCTGTCTGGTTTCTCTGGGAATACCAAGATGCAGCCCCTTGGGAAGCTCCCCCTCCATCCAGCTGGTGCACAGCAATTACATGGCTCCGAGAACATCTTATAAATGAATTATAGCCTGCTTTTTCCCTTCCCAGCCAAAAGGCTTTTGGAAGAGCAACTTTCTAATTACATTAGAAGACATTTGGAGAAAAAAAGAAAAAGGCAACGTGCAGTTTGCATACAAAATGTGGAAGGGTTGAAGCTGGTTCACCATCTCCTAGACCCTTGGAGGTCCTCAGAGCCAGCCACAGGCTGCTGCCTGCTCCCTTTGCAAGAGACAGCCACATCAGCCCTGTGGAGGGCTGTCACCAGGCAGACATCAATTACTCTTTTATGAATGACCTTGCTTCCATCCTTGCTGCAAGGAACAATTTCTCTTTGACAGACTCGGCAGAATCCGCAGGAACAGCACCCTGTCTGTTGGCTGGTGTTTCTTTAATTCACCTTTCTGATGCTTCCCCTTTGGTGAAGGGGGCCTGCTTTGGATGAGGGATGGATCCTTTAGCTCATACTGTGCTCTGTAGCTGTGTTCTGCCAAACTCCTACACTTCCAGGGAAGGAGCAGACCTCTGCCCTGCTCTGCTCCAGATGTTTTTTGGTGCTGCTGTGGCCATTGCAAAGGCCAGCTCCCTGCCAGACTGCAGAGCCCAGGGGCAGGGAAAGGGGGGGCAAATTTCAGATGGCATCCATCAGGTTGTGTCCCTCTCTGCCTTTTAGTTCATCTAAAAGCATGCAATGTTTTTGCCCTTCCACAGAGCAAACATGAGTCAGTGACATCAGTCTGAAAGAGGAATCTGTCCTTGGTATCAGCTCTGCCACTGGCACACAGATGCCTCACTCAGAAGTGTTGCACCATGAGGGAGAGCACAGGAAGCAGATTAAATTAGAAAGAAGATGCTGAAGTATGCTGCAGTGATATTAAGGACCCTCTACACACTGGCCTACACCTGGGTATAATAAAGCAAACAGCCTGTGCTGTGTGCTGTCCCTACTAGCTCATCAATCTTGATGAAAACCTAGGTTATATTGGGCATTCACTGAGGCTTTTTCCACTGCATTTTTTTGGAACATCTGCTCCCTCCTGATCACAAATTTTCTTCTATACTAGTCAGGTTTTAGACTGTAAAGTTCAGATGTGAGAATTTCAGCTGGCATGTTGCTCCCTGTTTTTTCTTTTCTTTCCCTTTCTCTGTCTGACCTGGTAACAACACATGGTGCTTTAAACCTCACTGATACCAGAGTCTTTCCTTTATGCAAACAGGAAAGCTGCTGTTTTCCTTCCTTTTCCTCCCCTTCAATAGCAACACGGCCTCCAGGGGCTATAAAGCTGCAGGATATTTACATTCAGATTGACTGCATGATGGGCCATGGATCACCAGAAAGCAGAGTTTGCCTGGGCTGGAGGACAGTGAGTAAGTCTGTGGCTATTCTCCCTGTTTAAGAGGAGCTTTATATGTAATATTGCTGGATTTTAGAACATAATTTTTTATCCTTAAGTTCTCAATTACTTTCTTGGAACCAGCTTCCTCACAAGCAGCATTGGATGCACAGTAGCATCTCTCTGGTCTCATGATGCTGCTAATGCAGGTAGAAGACAATCTCCTGAGACCTGTGTGCGTAAACCAGTTTGACCTGTCCTGGTTTCTAACCACTGTGCACCCATTACTGTTATTAGAACAGCACCAGTGAGGCTTCCAAACAACAGGGCCTCCTCCTCTGTAGGCACACAAACCTCCAGATAGCCAGGCAGCATGACGATATATAATCCAAAGAGACAAAAAAACAAGCTCCTGTAAGCCCAGTCTGGATCCTTGTCAGCTTTTCCCTAGGGTGGCTGGTTTACCAAGTGGCATTGTGGTGGACCAGCCACATCGATGCAGACATCCCCCACGCATGGCTCGGTTTCCTGGACAGCCATAGATGTCAGGCAAATAGTCTGATGTCTTCTCTCTTTGATTAGAGAGTGAATTAAATGGTCTTCCAAATAAGACACACTCTATGCAGGGAGGAAAAGTCCTTTAAAATCAATAGCAGGGGAAGATGAAAGATTCTCTCTCCTGCAGAAGGAGGAAAAAACCTCTAAGCAGCAGGGCTGATCACTCCTGTGAGCTACAGCACAGCAGGGATCAGCAGGGCTCTACAACACACTGACCAGTTTTGGAGTCCCATAGGGCCAAACCCCACTCCTGCCTGTGATTACACCTCACTGCAGCCGTCAGGGCTGCTCTCGCTTCTCGTTGCCAGATCAAAGATTAAATGCGTGCCTTTGGAGCGGGAACTGGGGGCAAAACAAGCAGAGAGCTGACCCTTGGTGAATGACATGGTTGGGAGGGGAGGGGGCAATTTAAAACAGGCGAAGTCCTCCCGTCCTCCCTGTGTGATTTAAGACGCCACTGAGCTCCTTCAGCGGCTTGGAGCCGAGAATACCGTTGCTAGTGGGCAGCTCTCGAGCGCCTCCCAGGGTTCCCGCTAATTCCTTAGGGCCGGGGACGTGCCACCACCATCCCGCAGGGGTCACGGAGGCCGCTCCGGTTCCGCGGCACCCCCGGGAACGGACGGGCAGCGGGCAGGCGGCCGGCGGGCCCGCGGCCCCTCCCGCGGCGGAGCGCGGTGCTGGAGCGGCCCCGCGCGGCTGCTGCCGGGGCCCGCTCGCCTCCTGCCCCACGGCTCGGCATGCAGCCGGCGGACACCGAGCTCAATGATAGCCAAGAGGCATCCCTTTATCCCTGCTGAGAGCAGCGTGGCATGAAGCCTCGTCGCCACAGCTGAGGGGAAGGCACCTCGCACCTTTCCTCTGCTCCCCGCAAGGCAGCGACACCGTGACTGCTCTACAAACGTGCCATCGGGGGCCCAAAATGCAGACGGCCACATCCCCCAGAGGACCCAAACTGTGGAAGCTAAAGACAAGCAACAGAGTGCACTAGGAGCCACAAAAATAAATAGCCAGTTTGAGGGTTCTGCCAACCAGAGGCTGCTTTGACAGGCAAAGCTTGGCTGTGATACCCTAAACCAGCTGGGCTGTGGGAGAGGATGGGTGGCTGGAGGAAAGGATCGCTCAGGTTAAAATGGGAAGGGAGAGCAGCACTGTGTGGCCCTTGGACAATGCTCTTTGGACAGAGCTCTGGAGTTCACTCAGTATGTGTTGGTGCTCTTTTTAACAGCCAGTTCCATGGAGTGGCATGCTTCAAACTATATGAGAGAGTAAGGTAACAAATAAACATTATAGAGAAGTTTGACTATATCTTCAGGCAGCCAAGGCATCCTCCACTGATCTGTACATACCCATCTGTTGGTTTAGATGTGGTAATTGCAGGCACACATTAAAGACATTTCAGCAAAAGAGAGGGGAGTTACACATTCTGCTTAATTCATGGGAACTGAATTGGGCATCCCAGAGAAAGGAAGATGGTATATTGAGAAGGTGAAAACATTAATTTCAGTGGCTGCTTTGCACTGAATTTTCAGCTTCTCATTTCTGCCATCAGTATCATTTCCCCCAATTACACAGATTAGATAAATCTCTTTAAAGTTAGTGTATGACAGCAATGCAATTATTTTATATTAATCAAGATTTCATGCTCAACAACCTATCTGTTAACTCCTGCCCTTCATATAGGAAAACACACCTTGAGCAGCACTTTACCACTCATTCCTCTAGCTCCAAGGCTGGAAGCTGCTCTGTGCAGGCTAAGCCCCACATGCAGGCTCTGTTTTGAAATGGAGCTTATCTCACAGGGCAGTTTACTACTGTCAACATGGTCCAGGCTCAAACAGGCTGATGGAGAGGAGAAAGGGGGGATTTCCACTCTTATGCTGCTTCTCCACCCTCTCCTTGGCTGAAATTCAGGGTCCTGCACAAATCCCTCATGCCTACTGCCATGCTTTGTGTGAATGTTTGCAGTGAGGTGGGAAAAAGAGGGGCTAATTTTGCTGTCACAATTCAGGAGAAGCATGTGAGACTCAAAATCACACTGCTAAGGTTTCCTCACACAAACCATGTGTTGACTTGATGAGGAGAAAAAAAAATACCCTGGGTATTGTCATCACCATAGTTGCTTGGCAGATAAACACATTCCCTCTGAAAGTTGCATACACAGGACCTTGGCAAAAGAAACTAGGCACAAAATGATGCAATACTCAGCCCTAAGAGCTCTGCAGGGTGATGCTTTTTTAAAAATGTCCCCTAGCAGCACAAAGTGAAACAACAGGACCTCCTTCCCCAGGCATGCATTCTGCTGGGCATAAGGCAATGCAGACCCCAGCACTGGAGGCTAAGGGGGCCAGCCCCAGGTGACAGAAAGTGCTCCCAGCCAGTCCCTGCAGGTATGGATACGCACCATGGCAGTGAGGCACTGCGATTCCCGCACCGTGGCAGCAGAGCTCAGCAGGGCTGCCAGGATCAGGGTCATGCTCAGGCAGATCCCAAAGTAGAAAGCTGGAAGACAGACATGGGAGTTGTGGTCAGATGCCAGAGGCCTAGTCTGATGCTTCACCCAGAGAGGGACCAAAAAGTGCATTTTGGGGAGCTGGCCCCAAATGACCAGGTTGCAAAACTGAAATTTTTCTGTAATTTATTCAATACCCCCCATCTGTGTGTGCTTTGCTGTGTATGTCTGGGAAGGCTGTAAGCCTCTGAGGGGTTCTCACAGCTCCAGCAGAGTGAAGCAGCCTAAAACGGTGTTGGTCCACCCAACAGACCAGAAGCTGCCAATTACTTCAGCATTCTGATAAGGATCCCCCCCAAATGGGGGGTGCTGGTGTGCAGCAGCTGTCCCACAGCCTCTATCAGGACTCCGGGCACTGCTAATCTGTTGCAACACTCACCCTTCTGGTTTCCTCCTGGCTCAGGCAGGATCATAGCCAGTACCCTGGAGCAGGGCTCAGGGACCACAGCACTGCAAAGGGCTTTGCTAGCCTAACCACACAGAGGTAGTGCCTGTAAACAAGGCAAGTGGAAGCGTTGCTGGAGATGGGTGACTGGGGTGGGAGAGCCTGCAAGCCTGCAGTCAGTGCCAATATATATGTGTAGGAACAGGGAAGGAATATACCTTAGCCTTGGGCTAACACAGTTTTTACACCTGCCTTGTTAAACTGAAATTGAGAACCAAGATCTTGAGAGAACATGTGCGTGTTTAAGACCAGAGTGCAGCTTGGGAGAAGCAACAGATGCAAATGCAGCAGTGGTGAGCAGGGCGTTTTAGTATCTGGGCTATCTTTGCTCTAGCCTTGTACCTGAGACTCAGTTTATACTTCTCCCTTGTGAAAGCAAAAATACCACATATTTCCTCAGAAAAGCTCAAGGTGCTGCCATGCATTTCTCCTCCCAGCCTCAATTTTCTATGTTCTGCTTCAACTCCTGTAGTTCCTCTCCTCTTTCTTCCAGTCTCCTGCCAGCCCCAGTGCACTTTTAGTGACTGAGGAGCTCCTCCTGAGCTCTTACCACAGCACAGGGGTCAGAGAATAGAGGAACAGCTGCAAACACAGAAGCACCTGAGCACCCCATGCACCCACAGCATCCTTTGGTTACTGGCATGCAAGTCTCATATGGGGAAAGAAAGTGCGTGTGGGACTGTGTTAGTCCTAATGCATCCTCCAAACCCAACTCCTTCCTCCTCTTGAGATAGCCCTGAATTTTTTTCTACAGCTTTAAGGAATTTTGCAGCTCTGGTATCACCAAAGGTCTCATTGGGATGTGACCACAACATACCTGAGTGGTGGATGACCTTGTAGGCGTTGCTGTCCAGGGAGACGTTGCTGATGAGGGTGAAACGGAGCCCATAGTGGGCGACTGTGCTCAGTGTGGCAATGGAGAGCCCCAGCAGCTGGAAAAGAGGGGTTTCAGGAAGGGATTTACAAGGCAACAGCTCTTGCTGGGTGCACACAAAGGTTTGAGTGTATCTGGATACTCCTGAGCCCCATGCAAGTGCAGACAGCCTCATCATCCAGATACCACCACATGTACCCCAAAATGCACATAAAAGGACAAACCCCCCACACTTAAAAATACTAAAGCTGTTTTTTCTCTTTTGCATAATGAGTGCATGTGACACTGTGCAGCCCACAGTCTCTTGGCCAGTGCCTATGGATTAAATTCCCATCACATTAAGAAAACTGAGAGGATTGATGCTCTTGCAGCACACCTGTGCAGTGCCACCCCATTCTGCAGACTGTGCACATATGGCTGTGAGGGCTGCCAGCTACAAGAGGGGTTTTGAGCAGGGGTGAAGTTCTCTACTCTGCTCTTTGCAATACCAGTCTCATTGCCTGCTGTTGGCTCTGTTTCCTGTGGCAGAGCACAAAGATCCGAGTCCTGTACTACTCTAAGTTGTCTATGGTGGTATCTGTCTCTGCAAGGTGCTGTCTGTTTCTGTACCATCCCCAAGAGCACCGGTATGCCTAAGGCATGGGGTAACTACTTGCATGTCCATACCTCTCCAGGTGATGGAGAGGGAACGTTTCTGATAGCACCTGGCTCTAGGGCTGGGCTCCTTTCAGCATGACTGATGGCAGAGCTGGGACAAAGGCACCAGCAGCAAAATGAACTCCAAATCTAGTGCAATGAGCCTGGAAAACACAAAATGTAAGGCTACTCCTAGCTCTGAAGATAAGGCTTCATCATTTTGTGCCTTTACAATACAGAAACATGAGACAGCTATACCTGTGTCAAATGTGACAATGTGATCTCAACATAATCCCCACTATGTGACATTTTCTAATAGCTTTTGCTGGAGGCTTACAGTCTCAGAGACTAAATCCATCCAAAATGTACCATTTTGTCTAGCCTAATTTGTGTCACCTTCTGATCATTCAGACTGTGCATTACTGCATATCTTGACCCACGCCCAGCAAAATATTAAGTTAGCTCAGATTTCTGAGAAACACCAGTCTAAAATCCTCCCAACAGCGAGAATGTGATTCTAACCATTCACAGCAGCTGTGCCTTAATGTCTCCTCTAAACATGCTTAGTACCAATCTTCCTTTCATTTCCTCCAAGTGGCATATTATGTTATTTGGAAGAGAAAACCACCTTACAGCTACTGCAGTCCTGGAATGTTGAAATTTGGAAAAACTACAAACTTCATTTGTGGCCCAAAATAAGGTATTACCTTTTAATAACCCTTAACAAACCACCAACCCTCTTTGAACTAAATACAGATTATTATTATTATTATTATTATTATTATGCTGGCAAGTTTTGATGAAGTGAAAAGGCAACAAGAACATAGAAGTCAAAGCATCCATGAGAAGTATTCTCCAGTTTCTACCATTTCCCATCAGCTTTAACAGCAGATGTCCAGAAACTCCCCTTGAATTTACTTGAACAGCTGATAAACAGACTCCCTGGAATTGCTTTCGCTTTGCAGTGCCAGTCCACATGTTTCTTACACACACTTCCACCAAAGCCTTGTGGTTTCACATCCTCATTGATCCCACCTGCAGTCGACCACCCTCCCAGCAGCAAGTGTGACTGCAGCAGGTCCATCCTCTCTCTTTTGCTCCAAGGAGACAGGAGCAAATATCTTTTTTGCTCCCACCCATTCTGCCAGCAGGAACCTTTTCTTTCTCCTTGGAGGAAGCTGCTGAGTTGTGAAAGAGCTGCAGTGGTGTGACAGCCTTGAGAAACCAGAAGTCTATCAGAGGAGGAGGGGGATGCTGGTGGCCAGCGATAACCGCCCATGGTGCAATGATAACTCAGGCAGTTGGCTGTGCTTGCCCTCCACCCGCCAAAAACAGAACGTGGGAAAACCATCCCCTCTCGGAGTGGGGATGGGAAAGGCAATGGCTCACCTCGGTTCTGCAGAGATCCCCCCAAACCTGCCTGCTCACCATGACACAGAGGCTGGTCACCAGCAGCTGGCACTTGGTGGTCCTCATCCCGCACCTCAGTTCCATGGCAGCTTGTCCCCAGAGAGAGCTGGCAGTTGGTCCCTCCAGCTCTTGATAAAGCCTGGGTTTCCACCAAAGGGAGGCATGGCCACAGTGGGGCCTCTCAGGAAGTGGAGTCCCCACCACGTGCTGATGCACCTCCTCCTGCCTGATTATTAAATCCTCTTTAGGGCAGTCACCTTCTGCACAGGCTCTCAGTTAGCTGCTGTCAGCTCCCACATAGCCAGCTGGGGGAGAAGGAAAGGCATGCAGAAAAACAACCTTTCATGGAGTTTGGAGCAAAGCTCCTTTAAAAAATAATTAAACTGATTAGTCAAGAGTGTCAAAATATCCCAATTTTGACTTTCACTGGGATGCAGTTTTGCTTAATGAATATTGTCCATAACATTTTTTTCATAATATATATAAATAATATTTTGTAAAAGCATCTAGGAAAACGCTATTAAAAAAAAAAACCCACCTATTTTTAAAGAAGATATTATACCCCCCCCCCCCAAACAGATCTATGTAAGAGTCTTCTCTCCCCATGTAAAAGCACCACATGGCAATAACCTTTGGCTGAGCCTCTATTAGAACTTGCATTTGCAGATAAGGGAAAAAACCACATTTGGTAGTATTTTATTCAGGAAAATGGTTATGTGGAGATATAACCCCCTGCTCAGGAGAACCTCACTGTCTGCGGACATTTTAACTCTTCCTTTCCCCTCTCCTAGCACTGAAGACTCCAGGGACCCATGGCTGCAGAAGACTCAGGTGATTTCTTCAAAACCAGCTGTCTCCTGAATGCATATTTCTTAAAAGTAAATTGCAAAGAAGCCTCAAGAAGGATCTGGCCAAAGTGAGCCTGAATTACTTAGTGCCTTAATTACCCTTCCTTTTGGAACCAGACTGGTGGAGAACAGGTGAATAATTGCATTCCCGACAGGTGGCAAACAAAAGGAGTTAAAAAGTAAAACCATCCCACAACAGTAACTGCAGTAACAGGAAGATGACAAAGAAGGAGGAGGAGAGGAGTGAAAAAAGGAAGGAAGATGCATTTTGTAAAGCAAAGAGAAGAGAAAGAGAGTTGCACAAAGCCATGAGCATGGGGAAAAGCATGTTATGATTTTCTGACTACATCACTAGCTTTCTTGCAAGTTTTCCTGCAGATCATCTTGGTTGCATCCTCCCCAGACACCAGTGAGAGCTGTCACAGCCAGAGCCAAAACCAGGTATCCCCATGGCTCATGGGTCCCTGCCCTGATGCCCAGGAGGAGACACTGAGGTACCCATGTGCAGGGACCTTCCTCCTCTGGCCACCAGCTGGAGACCACCTGAGGAAAAACAGTGGATAGACAGCAGGGCAGGAGGGCACTGGGGAGAGGACAACAGGCTGGTGAGACAGCTGATGCCAAGCCACCCACGTTTAGGAGCTGGACCCCTGGGAACGGACCATGTGGGGAAAATGCCTTATAAGAAGGCACTGTCAGAGTTAGGATTGGGTCAGAATTCAGAACTGTGGGCACCCATCGCTTCTTCTGGTACTTGAGGACAGACGGAGGTGTTGTCACCTGCATTTTCAAGGGGAAGGATCCCTGGTACAAAAATAACAGAGCTGGCCCACCGGTGGATTTGCAGGTTAAATCTGGAAGGGCTGCAAGAAAATATGAGCACAGCTCTGTGTGTAACACCAAGCCACGTCAGCCCAGCCACGAGCGACAGTCACCATGTCACCTGCCCTGAGCACACCCAGCGTCTGTTTCACAGCGGCAGACAGGGAAAAAAACCATGGAGCCCGTCTCCGCTCCCCCTGTATCCCACTTCCTTCTCCAATCCTAAACACCTGCCACCGCAGAGACCTGTGCGAAGCCAAGTCTCACACTAGAGGTCCCCACAGGCCAGCAGAACCCTTTCCCGAAGGGCGAGATAATCGACGTCAGCTTTCGGAAGGGCATTTCCCTCCCCAGTTCCATAAGAGTCTCCTCCGTTCCTGCAAAGCCTCGCACCTCACCTCATATCCACCTGAGAGGTCCCAAAATCGTCATCTACACGCCTTGCAAGGGCTGCTAGTTTTCCCACAAAAGATGTCCTGCCTCCTTTTGTCTCCAGCTATAAAAACGGGTACTTTGACTGACTCACAGAGCTCTGAAAGCAGGTCTGCAACTTCAAACACCTGTGTTTAAACAGCTACTTCCTCTGTTTTCGTTGAAAATTACTATTCCTGAGTAGCTTGACCATATCTTCTGATGCTTCTCCCACCTGCAGCGCTTGGTGCCTGCCTGTTGGGCTCAGGGGCGGAGGGATTTTCTGCTGTTCCTTTTTTCTCTCTCTTACCCTCTATCCCATACAGGTATGCCTTGAAAGTTTCCTGTTTGGGGCACAGCATATGTGGTTTTCTAACATCACAAAAATAACAAGAGCAAAAAGAGTTGCTGCCTCACATTCACAAAAGCAAAGTCACTCCCTCACCCAAAAGAAAGCAGGAGCATCAGTAGAGCTGGGGTATTAAGATGTTGGGTTGTGATTAAGGAAGGCACATTTGGCACATGGAAGGGCACTTCTGAAGGGGGACTGTGTGCTCATCCTACCTGTGCCCATCAACAAGGCAAGCTGTGCAACACTTCACTTTCTATGGAATTAAACTACCTCTAGGTGCCCTGTTGGCTGACACCTCCCTCAGCAGGCACACACTGACCTCTCTGCCCAGAGAGGTGAGAAGCAGGGTGTCCCCTCAACCTCATCCCAGTGGGAAGAGAGGCAGGGCTGGTGGCATGCCAGGGAACCACCCTCACAGCCAGCATGCGGGCTGGATGGCAGCATGGCTTTTCCAGCAAGACTCGGCCTCCTGCCCACCCTGGCAGGTTTTCATCAATTGATTCCCTTTGCAAAAGCCCAACTTATCACTCCCAAAAGCAGTGCAACAACCACAGGTGACCGCAGCTCCTGCCTGTGGCTTCCTACCTTATCTCTGGCTATCAGGTGGAGCATGGAAAGATGGTAGTGAGTCTGAAAATACCCCAGGGAGCACAGGTGCTCTCTTTCTAGCCTTGTGGCAGCTTGCAGATTTCTATTACGAAAAACCTCATCCCCAGCTGTATGGGTCTCAGAGGGATGTGCCATCTCATCCAGAAGGGAAGGGTTGATTTTAAAAAGGGAACAAAGCCAGATCATATTTTTTTGCAAAGCTATAAACCCCCAACCCTCTTCTGAGCTGGAGGGAAACAATGCCACTCTGTCAGAGAGATGTTCTGAAAGGGGGATTTGATGTGTTAATGCTGCATGGGGTGAACTTGGTACACTAAACACAAATGGAGAAGAAGAGGCTGAATTCATCCTGATTGACACCCACTTTCTTGACATCCACTTTTCCGGCTCTCACTCCATCAGTGCAGCCACCAGTGATGGAACAGCAGCACCCCAGCCTCGGCTGCTTGAACTCTGTCAATGCAGCAGGGAAGAGAAACTTCCCCCTTTGGGGCACTGCTACTCATGTTCCTGAGAAAGGATGTGCTGGAAGAAAGGAGGATGTCACCCAGGAGCCAAAACTACACCCATCATTCAGGCAGGACACACCTGTGCCAGGTCCCTGCTGCCTCTCAGAAGCCTCCTCCTTTTCCAGCCCACAGCACCATTGGGGAAAATTCCTCTCCTCCGCAGCAGAAAGCAGCTCCAAACGTGTCAGATTTACAAGTGTCAGTGGCTCAGCCCATTCTGTCCCTCAGCTACTGCCCGTAACATGGCTGGATTCACCCTAAAGCTGGCTCGTAAATAACCATGTCCATATCAAACCGCAGCGCAGCCGTAGGGATGCTGGGAGGCCGGGCAGACCTCACAGCCTGTGCCTGCCTTCCCGGCACATCACAAGGATGCATTGTAAAGGCTGCTTAGCATTCATATAGCACATACACACAATCAAAGCTGAAAATCAACTTTTAAACCCGGGGCCATCTCTTTTCAAGAAAGGAAAGAGAGGAGGAAAGGGGGGGTGCTGGGCTTTGCCAAGCTTCAGATGCACCATACAACTCCACTGTGAATGGAAACAAGGCTGGCTGGAGGCCGCGGTGGAAGGCACAAAACCAGAGAGAAATCATAATATTTCCAAAGCACTTCTTTACTTATTATTATTTTCAAAGTGTTTCTCAGAAGTCCTCTAGTGATTCCCAGGCAATTTAAAATTATTATAGGTGAACAAATAAAATATCAGAAGAGTTATTAAAAATAGTTCATCAAGCCAGAGAAAGATTACATTGGAAAAGAGCATAAGCTGAAGGCAGGGAGCTCCCTTCAAAGAATAAACTCAAATGAACTTCTTTCTCCACTGAAAGTGAAAGAACCGTACTCATAGCTCTAAAGCACAGTGCTCTACTCAAGTTAAATTATTTTTTCTTTTTCACATGCTATCTAATTGCACACCATAACTGCCCAGGAGCCAGCTGTGCACGTGATAGACCTGAAGACACAATGCGAGCCCTGCCCCATGTAGCCCTGCTCCTGGCAGAACCAGTGTGAGCACAGCCCAGCCTGGTAAACAGGCTCACCAAGAACAGGGCTGCTTAACTGCCCATCACCCTTTATTTCTCACATTCACCCTCTCAAGCTTTATTGCAACTGGACCTCCATTGCTTTCCACTGCAGTCCTGAAAGTTTTGGTAAAATACCCTAAAAAGCTCATGTCAGCTGGCTGTAATGCATGGGTGGCACCAGGACTGACCCAGCACTGCACCTGCAGCCTTCCTGCTGACGCATGTGCCAAGCCAGGGGCAGTGCTTTGCTCTCACCTTTGGCAGGTGCAAGAACTAACATGTAGTGTACAGGCCCTTCCCCCTTCTCCCTGAGCATCGTTTGCCCACCTTGCAGCTGGCTGAAGCCACATGGAGTTAAAAGGTGTCCACACCAACCATGCAGTTACCATTTTTGCCTCACCTGCTCCAGGAGAGGAGAATTTCTTCTCCCCACTCTCTGGGGATGGGTAGCACATTGCTGGATGCTCTCTCTCCCCAGATTATGATCAGGAAGTTGATTGTGAACACAGACAGTGTTTAATGATGTCTTGTTCTACTGGATCCTTACATAGTCATTAACTTTATAAAGAGATTTCAAAAGAGATTGCATTTGTCTGAGTACAAGATGTACCTACCCACCTACCTTCCTGCAGACTGTTGGGAAGCCAGCTGCACTGCTAGGAAAGAGTAAGCACTTGCTGTGTGCTGTGCCCAGGCCCAGACCCGATGGCCACATCTGGATGGAAACATCAGCAGCTCTGAAGCCAATTTGGACAAGTTAAGCTCATCCCTGAGCTGAGTGTAGAATCTCTTTGGCTGGAGGCTGCCGGCTCTCCCTTGAGACTGGGTTTACTGGTGTGCGTTACTAATGAAAAAAATTCCCTGTAGCTATTTTTGTATGATAAAAATCCAGTTATTAGTCTTGAGTGTCTCTATTAGGCTTTCTCTTGAAAAGTTTCAAGGGCAGCAGCTTCCCCTTTCCTGTGTGAAAGGTTTTCAACAGAAAATTAGAGACAAGGTAATAAAAGAACATCAGTATTACTCCACTGGAATAATGCGCCTACTGACTAAGCTACATCTGACAGCAAGCACAAGGGAAGCCCCTTGCTCCAGCCAGGGCAGTTTTGCAGATGCTGCAGACAAGTGCATGACATGGCCTGAGCTGAGCAAGCAACCTGTGCACTCCCAACAAGGCCCAGGCAGCTCCCCTGCGCTGCTGGGAATCCACCAGGAAAAACGCTCCTGCCTGTGCTGCGTGCCATGAGCTGCTCCTCTCGGGTCAAGTCCTTCAGAGAAGCTGTAGGACTGCTCATTGCCTTGCCCCCAGGTCTACAGCACAGCCAAGAATGTCTCGGGAGCTGCTGGATGTGGGTGCTAAGGCTCCTGCGTGCTTGACTACCAGAAAATCAAAGTGCCCACAGGATCCTTAGTGTCAGGAATTTCAGCTCGGCTGCCTGTGACACTGCAGTGGGGCTGGTTCCTTCAAGCCACTGCCATTGCAACCAATCCCCAGGGAAACTATTTCTCTTTCAACATAGTGGAGCCTTGCTGCTCCCCAAATACCCCACACAGGTACAAAAAAAGCTCCCTCTGTGTCACATCAAGGAATCATGGATAGCTCTTTGAACTACCGTTTTTGGCTTAGATACACCTGAGCACCAGCAGCAATGTGGTTTGGAACAGCCAGGGGAATACAGACCCTTTGATACCCAAATCGTGCTGCAGAGCCTTGCTGGCACCTGTCCATGTGATGACACATCCCCACCACCAAAGACACCAGCTTGGAGCATTTTCCTGACATTGGTTATGTCCGCCCCCAAAAAGTGAAGCCCTGTAACTGAACTGTCTCACACGGTTGGAATTTTTTTTTCTTTTCTTTTTTTTTTTTTTAAAGGCTGGGTGGGAGCAAAGCCCTGAGGACAGCACATCCTGAAGCCGTGCTGAAGCTGAGAGTGAACACAGCCCCAGGGCAGTGGGTTCATGTAGCTCCCCCTCCATCCATCTTGTTTATTTAGCAAAACACCATGCAAGTTATTTCTTCTCACAAGTTCCCAGGACTCCAAGGGGAAGCTCCTTTGTCCTCCCAGCTATCAGAACACACCTTACCCTGCTGCTCTTCCCACCGGAGCTGGAAGAAAGGCTTGCTTGAGGGAGAGCCAAGGAGGACTGCTCGGCATGGCGGAAGGAAGCCGGGCTGCAACCCCCGAGCTACGAAAGCTTTGTGTTTTCCTTCTTGCCTCCATGCCTTTATTCTTGAAACTCCCACTGAAGCGCAAAAAGCCGGTCTGTGGAGAACGGCGTTGGTAAGAGGACCCACGCCATTACTATAAATCTTTGTTACTATACATTTTTGTGGATGTACCAAAGCAGAGCCCCGGTGTGTCCCGTCTGTCTGTCAGGCAAGCACCGACCGGCGGCCAGGTGCGGGGCACTCTGCGCTCCGCAGTGAAAGCAAACCCTGGGAGCAGCGGGGCTGCCGGGCCACCGCCATCCGCACACCGGCACCGCGGGGTACCCGGCCTGGGGAGGGGGCGGGCTGCTGGCACACCTGAAGGGACAGGACCCGGGGCCTCCACCTCACCTCGGGCAGCGGGGAGCCCCGGCTGCTCCCGAGCGCCCGCCGTGAGGTGCGGGGGAGGCGGGGCGAGAGTGCGGCCCCACCCCCGAGTAATAATAAAAACTAAATTCAAATAAAATGTTAAAAACTGCCCGGGCAGGGGCGGTGATTTGAGGGGAGGGTTGCAGCGGGGCCGCGGACGGCGGTGTGTGTGTGTGTGTGTGTGGGGTGTTTGTGTGTGTGAGGGGAGGGGGGGGGGGGGGGCTGCCGGCTGCCGGCGGCGCCACGCGCCGGGCGCGCGCGGGGGCGGGTGCACGCGCGGGGGAGGGCGCGGGCGGGGGCGCGGCGGCGGCGGGCGCGCGTGGCGCGGCGTGCGCGGCGCGTGCGGCCGGCGGGGCCCCGCGAGCGGCGGCGGCGGCGGCGGCGCGTTGATAAGGGGCCGGCCGGCAGCGGGACTCGCCGCAGAGGCGCGGAGCGGCGGCGGGAGAGCACGGGCATGGGGGTGAACTGCCCCGCGCTGCCCACCCCCGCCTCCTTTGCCTCGCTTTAAATTCAGTTTTGAGATTTTTTTTTCTTAGTTTTAAAGTTTTGGTTGTTGGTTTGGTTTTCTTGGTTTTGTTTTGTTTTGTTTTGTTTTTTTTTCCCGCCCGCCGCCACCGTGGCCGCCCGGCGATGAACGGCGGGGCTCTGCCGCCGCTGCCCCCCGCCGCAGCCCGCGGCCGCCGGCGGCCCGCCTCCCCCGAGCTGCTGCGCTGCAAGCGCCGCCTGGCTTTCGCCGCCCTGCCGGGCACCGGGGCGGCGGCGGCGGCCGCCGTGGCCCGTCGGAACGAGCGGGAGCGCAACCGCGTGCGGCTCGTCAACCTGGGCTTCGCCGCCCTCCGCCAGCACGTCCCGCACGGCGCCGCCAGCAAGAAGATGAGCAAGGTGGAGACCCTCCGCTCCGCCGTCGAGTACATCCGCGCCCTGCAGCGGCTCCTCGACGAGCACGACTCCGCCGCCTCTTTCCCCGACGGCCGCGGGCGCGTGGCCGTCGGGGAAGTTGGCGGCGGCGGCGGCGGCTACTCCTCCGCTTCTCCCTCCTTCGCCTCCTCCGCGCCCGGCTCGCCGTGCTCCTCCGAGGAGAGCGGCTACGACGTGGCGCTGAGCCCCGAGGAGCGGGAGCTGCTGGACTTCACCAGCTGGCTGGGGAGCTACTGACACGGCGGGAGGTGAGGGGCAGCGGAGGGAGGGGGCGCCGCTCCCTCGGGGGAGCGGGGCACGGACCCACCGCGGCTCTCCTCACGTCTCTCCGCTCAGCCCGCAGCGCATCGGCACCCGCGGTCTCGGCGGCGGCAGCATCCCCACAAAGTCCTGACCTCCACCCCGGCGTGGCCCCGCTGGCTGCTCTTCTCGCCGGGTTCAGCCGTCGTCTTGTGGCTGTGGAAAGTGCAATGGGGTAGTTGGCTGCGGGGTCCCGCTCCTTGCGCGGGGACAGCGGCTCCGCCTGCCCGCCGGGAGCTGCCGACCCACGGAGAGGATGCCCGAGCGAAGCTGCTTTCCCCCGCCGCTGCTGTCTGGTGTTGCTTTGGAGGGGTGGAAAAGGAAAAAAAAAAAAAAAAAGACATTAGAAACACTTGATACTTCCTTATTTCTGGAGGGGGAGGGAATTTTTTATCATGTCAGATTCTATTTTATATGTAACTTGAACTGCCTATAGGGACATTGGTGTATGAAGACTTATTTTTGTACAGCAAACCTTAGAGAAAAGGGATATGATGGTTCTATTTTTAGCAGGTCCTATCCACTTGTTCTTGAACACTACCAGCTGGAATGTTTTGGAAACATACATATTATAGATGCAAAGGTATTTGTTTGGTTTGTTTTTTTTTTATTACTATTCTCTCCAAACACTTTGGTAAAAGACTGTAAACTTATGTTGTGTTTTAACGTGATGTCTGAGTTTGCCTGTGTGAAGGTCTGCCTCTCTGAAAACTGAAGTTTTTAAAAAAAAAAAATGTATTGAAGGCATTTTTGTATGCACTTGCTAGGGTTTCGTATGTTGTACATATGCAGTTTTTAAGAGAGTATAATATTTTATGTAAATTGACTTTATAAATAAAAATCTATTTATAAATGGCTTCAGGGCTGTAAGATGTATGTGTGTATTTCCCAGAATTGCCCAAGGTGACTTAACTGTGGCCTGAAGAGGTGGGAGAGGGGAGTAAGGAGCAGTACAGCAGAGAGGCAGTTCTCCCCGGACAAGGTTTCACGTGCAGAAAGGAATAAGGAGCGGCATAGCATAATCTCCAGGCTTACTTTTCTTTCCCCCAATCAAGTTTTATAAATTCAGTGCTTGGAGCAGGTCCTGCTGGGAAGATGTGGGGAGCTGCAGATGTGCGTAGGAGACAAGGCAGGTTTGGTGCTGCTAACCCCTGTCCTGAACATGCAGAAAGTGCAGCTGCAGGAGGCTGTGTTGCCCGTGCCTGGGATGCTGGGAGACTCATGGGAAGGTAAAGAGGAAGTGGGTATCTGAAGTTTGCTTGTCCTGGCAGCAGCTCTCAGGAGGAAGGTTGGGGTGCCTTTATTCAGGGAAGCAGCACCTCTGAGAACAGTGTTGTCCTTTAAAAACCACCCATAACCACAGTGTCCCACCTTGTCCTACTCTAACTTGAGCTGCATGTACAGAGCCTTTATCTAAAGGCAATAATGTGGCAAATGTGAATCACTCCTTGGAAACTATAGGCAGACTCATAAGCTCTGTCCATTACTTTTGGGCTCATACTGAAGACTTGCTTCAGGGCAGGTGAGCCAGAGGTAAAAACTGTGTGGGTAAAAATGCTGTGAAATAAAACACAGGGCTGATGCCATGAAAAACTATGGCAGAGACTGTTAATTCCCTTAGAGAGCTCTAGTGAATGTTAGGAGTTGAATGGAGCAAAATGGGCTGGCCTGTAGAATATGCTGAACGAACACAAAGCAGAAATGGTTATTAAAATTGACCTACTTTACAGGGACCCTCTGTGTAATCTCTGCTGCCTTATTACTGTGAAGGTAAAATTTTTCAGGAGTGTCACTCAGCAATTCCAGATTCAGGAATTGCAGTGGATACTCTGTAATCCAGATCTGTAAGAGTATTCCACCTACATGATTCCATTTGAAGAACAAAAACCTCCAAAACAAGCCACGGGAAAATGAAGGCTCTAAGAGCAAGCAGCATTTAGGAGCCTGCAATCAAGAGCAATAGTTACTGTCCTTCAAGTTCATTCCCTAATAAAAGTTGCTCTAATAAACTGTCCCTTTGAAAGTGACAGAGAATTCAAATGCTTGATAAATGTCTTGCAAAGGTTTTATACCCTTTGTGGCTCTTCAGCAGTACCCCAGGTAGGAGCAAGAGCTGTGGGCTGATGTGGGCTGTGCTCAGCAGCAGCAGGGAGGGCTGGTGGAATGGGGGAGTAACATGGTTCCTTTCCCCAGAGAGATTGAATGGCTTCATCCTCACAGATAACCTCCAAAAAATTAGCCAAACATAAACTCATATAGACTCTCACATATTTATTCTCAGCCTAACCAAAATAATGTCACCTTTTCCTTTTCAAGCAGTTTAGAAATTGGGACTGCTACATTGGTCTGCACAAGTGTCCCATTATTGTAGAATGCATTTTTTTAAAGCATGTTACTACTGCTGGGCAGGGTGTTTGTTTTCCTTCCTTAGGTGCACTGATCATTTTAATATTTCCAAAAGCAGTATTTGGCTCTCAGTGAAGTAACTCCCAGCATTGTTACCATGTTCATCTGATCACCGAAGATACCATTGCAGCAACTTTGAAGCAGTATCAGCTGTAACTCTATTGGCAAGAAATCAGCTGTAAGCAATTTTCACTTAAGTAATACTGATATCAGGGGGGAAAGAGCTTAGTCAGCATCACAAGTTACCTTAATGCTGTCAGTCAGAACTATAGGGAAATCAGAAAGGTACAATTTTATTTTAAAAACCCCACAGTGGCCATGAGTCTTCCAAACAATTGAGGGGGAAGAAGGTGTGAGAAAAGGATGTATGTGGGTTTTAGAAACACAGAATGGACAGAGGGACTCCTTTCCCCAGCCATGGTCGTGGTGGCAAGTCACTAGCAGATTCTCAGATCAACCTGCTGAAGAGAGCTCTGCCACACCAGAGAGAAGGGCACTGAATCACTGTGCCCTCTGAAGGAAGCATTAGGGAGGATGCAAGGGAGGTTCTGTGGCAGTTGCAGCAGGTACCTTACCCAGCCCAGCTCACTCATCTTCAGCACCACCTGAAGACTGCTTGGACCTCCTTGAGAAGTCTTCTGACCCTAAAAACTCACCCCTAGAACTCTACTCCATTTATGCAAAATACTTGCCAGTTCAAAGACTTGGAGATGAAAGCCCTTTGACCATGAGAGTCACCTGTCAGCAGCAAGAGTAACAGCAGACCTGTCTCTCAGCCAGGTACTTCCCCTGCTTGAAGGAGCCAGCTACACTCCTGATGGGACCCTCAGTGTCTGGGTTAGCTGCCATCAACCAAGAGCTCCCCTGAGGGACTCCAGAAAGCCTGGGTGCCTGCCTAAACTGCTACACGAAACACTTGTGGCCGGGATGGGGAATGCCTCTGATGAGAACATCATTTCTCTTTAGATGTACAACTAGAAACTCAGTGCCTAAAATGGAAACCCTAGCTCCCAGCAAGACAAAAACCCAGCCATAAGGTACAGGGCTGCAAAAAAGTCCTGTAGTCAGATTCAGGCGGAAGATAGGCTGAGGAATTCTGAGAGTTAAGAAAAAAAAAAAGGCTGGGGAATCCAGGGGACATATAGGGCTTGTCAATGTGCAGATACAAAGCACACTTCTGTAAACCTCTCACATCTCCATCCACCCATGGGTTCCCATTTTCCCAAGCAGCACTTCACAGGCCGCAGACATGGCTAACAAAGCAGAAACAAGTCGCAGGATGGTGTCAAGATTAGCTGCCCCCATCCCCAGGCAGAAAGAACCCTTCCATTTTCAACCACGGTCCCCTCCTTGGCATTTTTTGGTTACTCAGACTGAAGCTCTTCTTGTTACCCAAAGCACTTAAACCCCAGTACATGGTAAAAATGTGCATTACAGCTTGGTGGTGTTTAAATGATGATGTTGTCTGTCACGGGCAACCTCAGCTTCGGTTCCATGGCTACACTCCTTCCAAATTTCTCCACAAACTACTGAAAATAATTTTGAAGGAAGGGCCTGTGCAGTCTGTTTGAAGGCTTGTACACCACAGGAAGACCTGGGAAGCAGGCAGGAGGATGTCCTGCAGCATCCCCATGGCAGAATGGCATTGCTGGTCCTCCTTGCAGGGAAAGTGGCTTGAGCAGAGCCCAGCACCACAGAAAAGAGAACATCTGGAGATAAGAGTCTAAGGGAAAAGGGCTCTCTCCTGTTCCTACCACCACAAGATATCACCAGTAAATACCCTCTTTGCCACAGATCATCGTGCAGAAAATAGCCCACGATTGGTTTCAATGTAAAACAGCTCACTTTACATTAACACCTCATAAAGATCTTGTTACGGACGGACAGCAGGCAGCGAGGGAGCTCCTGCGAATCAGCTTGTTGCTGCCTCCCCTCCCATCCGTGAGGAGCAGCCGCCAGGAACGTACCTGTCCTGCCAGCCTTTGGTCTGAGTACCGAGGCTTTTCGGCTGCCACGGTTCGTGGGCAGACGGCTGTGTGCCGAGACTAGTCCCGAGGTCATTTCACTCTTCTCATGCAGGTCACAGAATAGCTGGCTAACAGCTACAATTTTCAGGCATTTCTTATCTGGATTGGATGCGGGCCAGGAGGCTGGGAGGGTGCATAGCCAGGAGTGAAAGGCAGCCCCTTGCACAGCTGACGGCAGCAGAGCTGCCCTGGCTTTGCCCAGCTTGGGCATTGGCCAACGAGGGCTCGATTTGCTTCCCAGAAAGTGCCACCAACAAAGCATTAGCCAAAGGCACACCTGGGAATAATGGGGCCAACAGCAGGAAAGCAGCACCAGGTGTGATCACAAGTGAATGTCACACCCTAAGGAGGCTATCGGGCACTCTAACAAATGGCTTAGAATTCCGGGGACACCATACACGCCCTGCTCCTTTGGAGCTTTGTGCACACAGGAACAGAGGAGCTCTGCCAGGTGCTTTCAGAGACTCACTGCAGGTCTTCCCAAGCCAGTCCCTGGGGTTTGCT